GGTAGCCTTGTGCGTTAACACATGCTCATCTGCTAAGACTGCCACCGCAGACAAGACGCTTACTTTCTGCTCATTCAGATACACTGCGATGTGCTCAAGCAAACATTTCTTAAAGTCTTCTAACAAAATTAACTCACTCAATGAATTACAGTTGTTAACTTTACAAGTTGAGCTACATTTATCAAAAATAACTCCCTTTTCTCTATCAAACTCGACATAAGTTTGACTCTGAGATTTCCTGTGATCTCTAAATTTCTGCGTATAAGCTTTGGGGACAAACTCGTAAGCACACAGATTTGCACTCTTTAGAGCATCATAACTCAAACTGTCTTCTAAAGAGAGGGCAGCAATAGCATCTTGGGCTTTTCCATGAATTTTGCACTGATGTAAGAGTGACCACACCTGCTTTGACTCTGCAATTTCTTCACTGGAAGAATTTCACATTTGGCATAGTATGCAGGATTGGACGCTCCGCAGATCTCGGGTCCAAACTACAGGTAACATTACCAGTAGGGAAAGTCTGTCTCGAAAAACGGTGAGGGAACCCTTGTGGTGACCCGCTGGACGCTGTAATGGACCTAAAAAACGGTGTACGGTGTTTTGAATAATTTCTTGCAATTCGAAAAAACCTGGACTGGTAAAGTTTATCAGAATTAGGCGTAAAACCTGTTGTGGTAGTCTTGATGTTTCTGTCGGGGAGACGTTATTACGGAAGAAGTTCGCCCATGTTCAGTTTATAGAACTATAAATATAGTTAATCATCGGGGGTGGTGATAATGGGTCTCATTTAAATCCAGCGGGGTATTAGACTAAAAATGGACCTTAAAAAATACATAAACAGCAATAAAAAAGCGGTGAAAGAAGGGAATTAAGGTAGTAATCTTTACTCATTACCATTGATGGCAACATCGCCCAGCACCGTTGCTCTAAAAGTTGCTCCGTGTATCATCATCAGAGACATGGTGTTCACCATGGTGGATGGTCTGACCCAAGTTTCAAGGGGCTGTTTCGTTTTTTATTGCGGGGCTATAGCATCCCCTGCTCTCTAGCACGATTGACAGGTCGCCATGGTAAGTTGCTACCATGGCGACCTGTCAATCGTGCTAGAGTGACTCATATCCACTGCACTGTGTAAATTTAACCATTGCCATTAAAAGACACACACTCGTTTTACTGTAAGTAAATAGTACTGTTATAGTCCTTTTACTTCATCAACTTTGTACACACACATTGCACAGATAGAAAGGGAGTTGGCAGCCGAGACTGATTTGCATTATCCAAAACACTGGGGAAAAAAAGTCTGGTGGGTCTTGGCTATGTTCGCAGTCAAAATGCTGCTATCAATAGGCCTATTTGTACAACAAACAAATAAGTACACGCCAACGGTGGCCAGCGTTAGTTCCTGAAATTTAATGACTACTTTCCTGTGGGTAACGTAGGCAAAATTAACTGTTTATATAGCTGTTTGTGTTTTAGATCTTTCCCTCCTCCAACACAGCGGATTCAAATGATTAACTCCTTATTAACTACTGAAGCTGCTTAAATCAGCTGTGTTGGAGCAGGGAGGGATTAAATCATGCAAGACAAGGGGTACTTTAGTCCAGCAGAGGGTTGGGAAACGCTGTCATAGTAGACTGCATTACCTTCAGTTCAAATAAGAAGAATTCATACAGCCAGCAAAGTCAACATAATAGTAGAAATAATACCTGGACAAATGAAAATAAACTCTTTACAAAAACATTTAATAAAGCTGAACACAGATATTAATGTAGTTAACTTGTGTTGTCCACAAAAAAAGCTAACCCTACCATAGGCTACTAATTCAGGAGCATGGTTCAAATTACGGGGAGGATTGGGGGAGGTTGACCCCCCTAATTAAGGCTGGGACCCCCCAGAAGAGGCAAAAACAACACTTCAGGGGGTCTTTCTTTCCTGTAAATATTATAGAATATTTCCCATACTCACGCCTTATTTTCAAGAATCTTGAGGTATGATTTCTGACACCCCTAAAATGGACTGTACCATTTCCTAATCTTGATGTTAGTTGAAGGTCTTGTCTGGCCACATCAGCAGCAGCTCCAGTCCACCACACGCTGGTGGAGACACTGTAAATTAATGTCACTAGTTAGCTATCTTGCTTCTTTAATACACTTAACTTTCCTACCTTTAGAGTTTCGTAATTAGCATTTCTTTTACTTACTAAATGAGCTATGAGCTATGTGATATTAGCTAGCTGATAGGCCACCCTGTAATTTCATTACCACTTTTTATCTTTTTTTTTTTTTCATATTTTATGCAATTGTTAGCCAACACTGGATTAGCAATGAAATTGAGAATTAGGTTTTGTAAATAGGCCTACACATTTTGACATCAATATAGAGTTCATTGTAAGTATTTTCTGAGTCTTTCTACACTGGAATTCAGGAGTTTTACCTCCCCAGGTAAATGTTAAAATTCAGGTGTGTTATTTCAAATGTATTCAGTTTTATTTATATAGCGCCAATTCATTACAAAAGGCATCTCACTTTTTATATAGAGCAGGTCTAGACAATACTCTGTTTAATATTATTTAAAGAGACGCAAAAAGTCCCAATTCCCCAACATCAGTGTATGACTACTGCACACACACACAGCTATAGTTTCAACACTGTGAGCTTAACTTTAGCTGTCTATTTATATTGGTGTGTTTTGTAACACAGTTTTCACATGCATCTGCATACAAACCTCTATACACTATCCCTTTCTTCTTACTTACTTGGAGAAAGCTTAAAGCCCCAATTATACAATCATTGTTATACTATTGCTTCTTTGATTTTACTTCTCACCTTTATGGGATCTCGTCTCTTGTCCGGATGGCCCCATCATCTGCTTGAGAGAGCTGACCCAATCCTTCTGTCGAGATTCATAAAGATTATCATTAATCATAATATTAAATAAAATAATTTAAAATTCCTCACACACTTCTGATCCCACTTTAACTCTTAAAGGTCCAGTGTGTAATGCTTCTGAGGATCTATTGACAGAAATGCAATATAAGATCCATAATTATGTTTTCAGTGGTGTGTAAAGACCTTAAATAATGAACCATTATGTTTTTATTACCTTGGAATGAGACATTTTTATCTACTAACTGCGGGGCACCCCCTGCTGTGGAGGTCGCTGTATTTTGTCGTCATGTTTCTACCGTAGCTGTCAACGGACAAACGTCATCACGGCGTTCTTCTTCTGCTTGTGTAATTCTGGTAGTGTAGACGCCCGTCACTACATTGAATACATACAAAGAAGAAGAAGAGGGAATAACAATAATGTTAATACAGTACAGTCTCTGAGTAGTCTTCTGGTTTATTAGAAGTAAGAAGAGAAGTGACATTTGGACAAATGAAAAAGCACATGTTATTTAGCACGAGAGCCGACAGCCAGACGGAGTCGGGACAGACAGCTGACGGCAGAAATCGTGGATTTTGTGGATTTTCCCAGATGGAAGGCTATAACTTTAATGTGGGACAGATGTTTTCATAGCGGAGCTGAAGTTGTCTGTTTTCTGCTGGACAGGTAATTAACTTTGTTTGTCAGACTTTAGCATGCAAATGGAAACTGTTGTTTGAGAGCTTTAGCTAGAAGCTGGCCATAATCACAGAGCCATGACATGTTTCCCCTGTCAGTGGTGTGAAATCTGGATTAATTTCATGGTGCCTTCTTGTTCTCCAGCTTTGTATGAGAATCAGCTGATCACTAATTGGCAAAAAAACGGCAGCTTCCAGCATGTCAAGATTGTATGCCTATCAAGTGACCAATAATAAATAATTTGTGAAAATGTGATTGGATATTGCTTTTCCACTGTGCACACAAATATGTAATTTGTACTTTCACATGCTAAATGCCCATTAAAACGTTGCACCGTTTTACCACAAGCTGAAATTATGGCTGTCAGTACTACGCCGGTTGATTAAAAAAAACACATTGTGCGCTATTTACTCACACTAAACACTGTAGCAACACGACCACATACAGCTGTTGGACAGCACTTTGTGTACGAACATTTCTATGAGTCGCAAGTACACAGAAGTGCTAATAAACAGTATAAACTAGAACTTTAGCTAACTGTTGATACCCCGACAGCCATCTTGGATCACAAAGTCGGGGTAGTGTGATTCTCCCGATTTCCGAAGTCGGGATTCCAACTAGAATTTACACACTGAACCTTTAATGTTTATGACAGAAAATGGGTTGTTGAAGGTTGTAATTAAGTCTTCTGACTAATATCTTCTCCATCCACTTGCATAGAAGCGATGTTAGGGCGATGGGTCTATAGTTACCAGCATTATTAGGATATTTTACAGGTTTATTAAATGGCAGTCTTAACACGCTATTACAACTTTTTGGCATTTTACCTTCTTGTTAAATAAGTGCAACATTATAGCTCAGCTCAAAGAAGCGTAAGAGAGATGTGTCTCAAAGATAAGATGTTTGGGATTGGCTGGGTGGTTGTTAAGCGAGGCTTTATGATGTAACTAGTAATTTGGTGGCCCCAATTAAACCTACTTAAGTATATTGGAAACTTTGGCGCCAATATTTGTTGAATTATATGATTGTCTGTACACAAATGTAATACTTTTACTGTATTGCTGTTTGACTGATACCAGTCCCAATATATCTGTCTGAATTTGCACGTTCAGCTGACCTGCTGTGTACCAACTTAAATCTGGGGTAGGCAGCTTTGGAGAAACCAGCAACAGACAGTTGGATTTTGAAAGTAATCCAACTAGGGGGAAAAAACCTCCCTCCAAAGCCACTACTCCAAAATTGAATGATGCTTGTTTACAGTTACCACTCCAGTGTTTGTTTTCCATCGCATGATGTAAATTAAATCTCATAAACTGATGTGCACTTCTTATGTCATGACTCCTTCTGGCAATGACATAGATGTAAAACATTTGTATTTTAATATTCAAATGTTGATAGTGAGGTGGCTACAATTGATCGCTGTGTTAGCAGAGCATATCATATTTATATGTACATATATCTGCATCAGCACACCAAGGAGACATCAGAGTGGAGAGAAAAAAATCACCAGATGTAAGTTTAAACTCTGTTGTATCACTTCAGATTTCATGTTGTCTGTGTAAAGGTGGACAGTTCAGTATATCCAATATAGAAAATGTTCCAATAAGTGCAAGTCGTCCTAAAGTAGTTCTATTTAACATTTTGTGTATAGAGTCTAATATTATGAATTGAGCTTTTTCATTTACCACGCATGATTTTATAATTGCATATATAATTGCAACTTGGCATTTTATTATTTTGCCTTCACAATGTTGAGTTTTCATGACTCCATGTTTGTTTTGAATTAACTGTTATAGTTTCATGACACGTCTTGTTTTGTGTATCACCTGTACGTTCATGATCATCATGTTCTACACAGAAACATTTGCTTGAGGTTCTTATATTGCACTATTTTTTAATCTGTATTTTACACAAATAAGTAACTATCGTTAGTTTAAAAAGTATTTATGAATGTGCACTGTTTGACTATGGTTTGCCTGTTTCCTCCCATCCTATATTGTTCATTCCTCTTATTGAACTAAACTTTGCATACTGGAGGGAGTGGTGCAGTTTTTTTTAACGTTCACATACAGTATGTGTTTAAGTGCATTTCATCCAACAGAGACAAGCTGTTAAGTCATTGTGTTTGGTTCTCTGCACACTAAAATGTCAGTTTCCTCTAACAGAGCAAAGATGCAGTGGAGTCTGTTTCTGCTCATTCTGATGGGTAAGTGGATCATTTACCAGCTCTATAGCAGCACATAGCAGGACTACTTAATCTGAAGTCATAACATTTAAATTAAGAAGATGGTGTAAGATGCAGGTTGTGACCTGTGTACTCATGATTTTTGATTTAATAAACAGATGCCTGTCTTGTTATCATCTCCAACACTGCAGTATTTTCTCTGGTTTTAGGTCAGTGGTCCTTCTTCACTTGTCAACTCTATGAGTATCACTTTATTGGAGAGAATAAAACCTGGGATGAAGCACAGAAGTACTGCAGAGAGAACTACACTGACCTGGCCACAGTGACTAACATGACAGACGTGAGGAGACTCCTTGACGCTACAGGGCAACAAAGTGAAGCCTGGATTGGGCTGTACAACCAAACAAATGGCAACAAGATGTGGCACTGGTCTCTGCCAGGAGTGGAGTTCAATGATAGTGAGACAGATTGGGCTGATGATCTTCTTAAACAGCCGAATGATTGCAGAGGTGTTGAGAACTGTGTGTGCATCGATCCTCAGAAGAAATGGCGAGATGTCCTTTGTACTGAAAATTATAAAGTTATCTGCTACGATGGTGAGAATCTGTGTCATGTGTAATAATGCTATTCAGCATGTCATCCTGTCTAACAGTTGTTTTCAATGTGAAAACATAAACTCACCTAAAGGATTATTAGGAACACCTGTTCAATTTCTCATTAATGCAATTATCTTATCAAACAATCACATGGCAGTTGCTTCAATGCATTTAGGGGTGTGGTCCTGGTCAAAACAACCTCCTGAACTCCAAACTGAATGTCAGAATGGGAAAGAAAGGTGATTTAAGCACTTTTGAGCGTGGCATGGTTGTTGGTGCCAGACGGGCCAGTCTGAGTATTTCACAATCTGCTCAGTTACTGGGATTCACGCACAACCATTTCTAGGGTTTACAAAGAATGGTGTGAAAAGGGAAAAACATCCAGTATGTCACAGTCCTGTGGGCGAAAATGCCTTGTTGATGCTAGAGGTCAGAGGAGAATGGGCCGACTGATTCAAGCTGATAGAAGAGCAACTTTGACTGAAATAACCACTCGTTACAACCGAGGTATGCAGCAAAACATTTGTGAAGCCACAACACGCACAACCTTGAGGCGGATGGGCTACAACAGCAGAAGACCCCACCGGGTACCACTCATCTCCACTACAAATAGGAAAAAGAGGCGACAATTTTCAATCCAGTCAAAAAAGACTGGAAAAATGTTGCCTGTTCTGATGAGTCTCGATTTCTGTTGAGACATTCAGATGGTAGAGTCAGAATTTGGCGTAAAAAGAATGAGAACATGGATCCATCATGCCTTGTTACCACTGTGCAGGCTGGTGGTGGTGGTGTAATGGAGTGGGGGATGTTTTCTTGGCACACTTTGGGCCTCTTGGGCATTGTTTAAATGCCACGGCCTACCTGAGCATTGTTTCTGACCATGTCCATCCCTTTATGGCCACCATGTACCCATCCTCTGATGGCTACTTCCAGCAGGATAACGCACCATGTCACAAAGCTCGAATCATTTCAAATTGGTTTCTTGAACATGACAATGAGTTTACTGTACTAAAATGGCCCCCACAGTCACCAGATCTCAACCCAACAGAGCATCTTTGGGATGTGGTGGAACGGGAGCTTCGTGCCCTGGATGTGCATCCCACAAATCTCCATCAATCTCTATCAATATGGGCCATCATTTCTAAAGAATGCTTTCAGCACCTTGTTGAATCAATGCCACGTAGAATTAAGGCAGTTCTGAAGGCGAAAGGAGGTCAAACACAGTATTAGTATGGTTATCCTAATAATCCTTTAGGTGAGTCTATAACTCATCTCTCTATACGGAATTAAGAAAAAACTTCACTGATGTGATTAAAAAGTAATATATCTTACAGGTGGATGTCAATTAGGATTAAAGTATAAAGTGGCATTCCTGGAAACTGTCGTGATAAAAAGCCACTTGTTTAAATAAAAAAAATGTCCTAATGCAGTATAGGCATTGTTAAGTTTTATTTGACACTAGCATTTTATAATCAGTTTCATTATTCCACTAACACATATAATCTCTGAAGCTGCTTTTTTATTTATCCTTATTTATTTCATTATGTTTATTTATTTCACATTATTGTTTCACTTGTTTTTAGTAATAAATATGATTTTATGAAACTAAATAACTTGTTAAAATTAGTATTGCTAACTGTCCAAGTGTCTGTTTATTCCACAGAAACAAGTCAATCCAATAAATTCAAACTGATTAACAACAGCATGACTTGGCCACAGGCTCAGAAGTACTGCAGAGAAAATCACACTGACCTGGTCAGTGGACTCAGTCAAGCTATGCTCATTAGGAACATTACTTCTGAAAAGATTTGGATCGGCCTGTTCAGAGACACCTGGAGGTGGTCAGATGGGAGCAGTTCCTCCTTCAGAAGCTCCGATCTGGAGTTATTTAAAAAAGAAGGTGGCAACAAGAAATGTGCCATGACTGAGTTAAATGGATCTGGAAAATGGGACTCTGATGATTGCAATAAAACAAAACCCTTCTTCTGCTATGATGGTGAGTTTTGCAAACGTCTGTCTCAACTGTTTTCTCCCATAGAAGCTGAAATGGAAAATCTGTCTGAATTTACATTTTTTATGCTTTATTTTAGTTATTAATGCATGTATGTTTGATTTCTTTCATGAATGTATATATTACAAAAACACAGGATTTCACCTTTGTATGTGTGAGCTACACTTTGTTTTGTTTTTTCATTCTTGTTTTTTTGTTAAAGAAGTGATTTCTTTAATTGTCTCTTATTTTGTCATTCCCATTTAAGTTAGTGACTGTATCATGACACAGGTTCCTTTTTAAATAAAATGTCACTTACTCAACACATTCTTAAGATATTTAAATATATTTGTTATCACTTTGTCTAAAAACCAGTTGGATCAGTAACATCTGTATTGGATCCAGTGTTGCCAACAGCTAACTGAACCAAGCTGCCGGTATGTTTGTCTCAATTTTTTCCATGACAGATAAAGTGATCCTTATCAAAGAAAACAAAAACTGGACGGATGCCTTAAAATACTGCAGAGAGAAATACAGAGACCTGGTCTCCATCACTAACCCTCACCAGCAGAGATGGGTCCAAGAGAGAGCCAAATCAGCCTCAAGTGATTTCGTCTGGCTGGGACTGCGCTACACCTGCACTCTGGATTTGTGGTTCTGGGTCAGTGACGAGCTGGTCTGCTATGAGAACTGGGCCCCAAATGAAAACACTGATGGGTGTGACCTGACTGCAGCCATGGACAGCAAAAAAACACATAACTGGCACAGGAAGCGTGAAAATGAGCTGTTTCATTTCATCTGTGCTGTATAGTAAGTTCTAATCATACACCCTAAGTCACTGGTGACAGACTTCATATTTTTAGACAACATATTAAACCAGCCTATACATACTAGTTTCATATACTTTTGAATTTTTTGCAAACAGATAATTAACTTTTATGATGCTGAATAAACTGTTAAAAAATGGAGCTGTTCTCTGAAATTTCTGTCCAACATTTACAGAAGTGATGCTTAATTTGTGTGAAAATGCGGACTACCAATGAAAGGACTTAAAGGAAACCATAACTTAAGTAATAATAATAACAATAATAATAATAATAATAATAATACCTTTATTTATATAGCATTTAGTGATTGTAATACTAAGTACATTACAAAAAGTGATTTACAAAAACAACACAGGATAAAAAAGGGCACGCAACACCACTGTAAAGATAAAATACATGTGGACAATGCAAGATACAAAATACAAATTAAAAAAGAAATGGAAATCACAAGTAGGTAAAACAAATTTAGTATAAACAGGAGACTAAATTAAATAGTAAATGCACCTGTACAAGATTGCAAAAATATTGCAAAAGTATTATCAGCAAAAAGTACTTATTAGTAAAAGTGCATGTTCTGATGAAAATTAGCCCTGTGGGTGATATATTATTATACAATATAGCTCCAAGGAGGGTTAAAATCAAGGGACTGGATTGCTCCGGTTGCCCTTGATTTTTACCCTTCTTGGATAACTATGACCTGGATGACTGAGAATCTTCACTGACATTATTGTATATGACATTATTGGTTATGTTATTTGTTAATTCTGATGAAGCTGTGGATACATTAAGCATCATTTTAATATTCTGGCTACAGCAGAGGTGGATATATTTTTAAACTATTTTATAGTAGTATATATTTCAGTAAAGCCAAAAGGGCTTGGGTCCTCTGCCAAGTAAAAAGTTGCTCTTCAGACCCAACTAAACAGGGCTTTTCGGGGGACCTTACCTATCCCGTCTTTCTTCCCCTCCACTCTCAGTTCCTACACACAGTGTAGTACAATAAGAAAATCTAAATGTGAGATATGTATCTCCTGTTAATTACTTAAGTATCTGTATCTCTATTCCCCTTTTTTGTTTGTCATTGTTTCTCTGCCTTGTCATTCTTCTTGTTAATTACTTGTTTTGCACTATTAAAAAACACACTCACAAAAGGGAATGCCTATTGTGTTTTATTAAAGCTTAATCTGTAACTACTAACCTCAGCTGTCAGATAGATGTGGTAACAAGTACAATAGTTTCAACTGCAATATAACCTAGTGAAGTAAATCCTAATGTATCAAACTGAAAATACTAAAGTCAAGTAAGATCAGTAGAAAATGTAGGCTACATTAGCACTGCCAAAGCAGTGCATTGCCAGATTCCATTTGGCTTTGCTTAGACAATAGGCAGTGCGGCTAAACAAACAGAAGGAAGTCCAAGTGTTTTTGTTACTGCAAAACACGGATGTTTTTGTTGGTTTCGTCTTCTAACAGTAGACGGCGCACCCGAGCACACATTTGGCACTTGACACAAGACCGCGGCTCAACCGGGCTTCACCGGCGGTTAGTTCACTATTAACTTATCAGGCCTACAATAAGCCTTTATATTTTATTCATTCATTCTGTCAAGTGTTTACAGCATGGGGGATCCTTACCAATATCCCGTTTTCTTCGAGTGCCCCACTTTGAACGAAGAGCAAAGGAAGAGGATAGAAACCTACTTCCATATTCGCCGCAAATCAGGAGGAGGGGACTGCAGCTCAATAACATACATCAATGATAAAGTTTACAGCATTGCTTTCAAAGAACAAGAGGGTAAGACACGTGGTTTTAAATGCTGTTGAATCGCTTCATTGTCGTTGATTTCTTAAACGGTGTCGTACAATGCAGAGAGCTGGTGAAAGTGAAAGTAAGCCGCTGGAAACCAGTTGATATTTCTTAAAGAAAGAAAGAGATTTTAATGTTTGCATCCAAAGTTTTGTCCTGTCGATGTTACTTTTCCACATACTCTAGCCTATAGCCTATATAAACTGTATACCAATTGATAAGTTAGAAATCTAAATTTAGAAACATATTCTTGTTTCACTTTCAAGTTGAGTTCAGACTTCACCCCGCATAGACCAATATTTTATATTTGTGTCAAATATACTCTTGTTATGAGCTAAGTAGGTTTGTAAATCCTTATACAACAAGTAATCCCATACAATTCAAGGCAACAGAAACGCATGTCATAATCACAAGTCACATGGCAGTCTGTCATCTCTATAATTTCCGGGCCCATCGTTTGTGTTTAAAATCTGCAGCTTGACTTCAGTATTTAGTTCACTCTGGAGATTGTGAGGCTGTCTGACTCCTGTCCAAAGGTTCTTTTCCTAGCAGATCCACACTAACACTACTCACTACTGATACTGAATACTAAAGCACACTATACCGAATGTTGTTCCTCTGGATCCCTGGACCTGTGTCTGGTATGGCTATTCAGAATTTTCCCTAACATGTGTCACTTGTGAAATGATGTTAAATTCACATGGAAAACATGCTTTGCACATGGGAAATGTGGTTTTGTAATGTGTGAAGCCCATGTAAATTCCCATGTGAAATCTGTGGGAGTACATGTCAAACGCATGTGCTTGTAAAATTCATGTGGGTTTTCTATCCATTAATTTCATCCAATGAAGAGTAAAGTACAACTACAGTAAGGCCACAGTTGGTCAGTTTTCAGCTCTAAACACTAAACACACATGCATATTTTTCATTCACAGTCCAGGAAGAATTCAGGATTCAACATTATGCACACTTTATTTCATTTAAATAAGCACAGAGGCAGGAAGAGAGGGTCGAGGACGGAGCGATAACAAAACTGAAAACTAGTGCTGAAAGACAAAAAGCCATAATATGTAATCCCGCCTTTTCGGTCTCAGATCAGCAAAGAGTTCTGCAGAGATCTGAACATGAGTTGGAGTTTGCAAGTGGTCTTCTGGTGCTGACTGTGAAAGACAGCCCTGGACCTACACACAAAAACGTTGGCCCAAAAGCGGACTTAACTTCATCACAGGTCAGTGTGGAAAGCCTTCTAAAATATAGTGTCTCATATGTCAGTAAACGTTGCAGACTACACTAGTAAAGAAAGAAAAAGGTCCAATTATTTTGGTTGGTTATAAAAACAACAGGTTTCATCACACACACTTACTCAGTTCAGTTTGACATAATTTTGTATGAAAACACTACAGGGCATGTGTTCAATTTATTAAGTCAAGTCAAGCCTTAGAAATTATAAGATTAAAATCAATGCAATACCTCTTTAAAACTGTTGTCATGTATTGATATATTGTATATCTATGTATATTGTTTGCTTTGTGAGTGGCACAAAGGGAAAAAACATCATCTCATAATACAACCCTGTTGTAAAATCACAAATACATTTACCTTGTACCTTGCATGTCTTTCCAACAGCAGAGCCCCCAGTCCATTCCTGCTTCAACTACTTCACCAGATGGTAGAAACTATGAACTACAACTTGACCCTTACCTCCTTCGTTACCTAAAGGAAAGCCCCAACGCTGGGAAAGAACTAGAGAAAGAACTCTCTTCTGTGGCCTGCTCTGCCAAGCTTTACCCAGAGGATGAGAGGGCTTTAGTTAGGTGCTTAGCTCAACCTGGTGCAGAAGATGAAGTTAGAAACTGGAAAGCTGAAGTAGACAAAGTTTTTGATGGATATCTGTGCCACTATGAGGTTGACCCTCACAAAGTTAAAGCTTTGCTTCAGTCCTGCAGCTCCCGTCAGGTCACAGATGAGGTGAAGGTGTACAGCGAGGTTGGGATGGCTGTTGTTGTTGGGAGGACGTTCTCAGGTGAAGGCCAGGTTGATGGATGTAGAGCACTCACGGGTTAAACAAGGGTCAAGTTTAAGTGAGAAGCAAACCAGCATTCGCCGACTTGGCACAGCCAAACTCCGTCTCCTTTGGACAGAGATTGAGCACAGTCTGGGACGAGATTTTCCAGGTGTGAAGGTCACACAGGGAGATGCAGGGCAGTTAGTTTTGGAAGGATCTGTTGAGGAGATTCTTAAGGCCGGAGACCAGATCTCTGATATTGAAAATTTGGTGTCAGAAAGGACAGTTTCTGACATGAGCCCACATTTTTTGGCCTTCCTCAGGAGGGTATATGGAGGTCCAGGGGTGCTAAGTGACATTTTAGGGTTTGGTGACAAGGTGGAAATAGAGTTACGAGACACAGAGTTGCATTTGTTCAGCCGCTCTGCTGAAAAACTGGATGAGACAGAGAAAAAACTGCAAGAAAAATTCAAGGAAGTCAAGATCTATGTGCCTAACTGCTCTGCTGTGCCATCTGAGCTTCAGGAAAAGCTTAAGTCCAAGACAAATGAGATGAACCAAGGGCAGCATAGGGCTCAGGTTGTGTTTGGCTTAGACAGCACAGTGTTCCTACTGGGCCACACGAAGGAGGTCGAAGAGCTGAGTGAAACTGTCACACAGTTTATTTTGGACCAGTCAAGCATAGAAGGTAAAATCATTCTCCCTTTCCCAGAGTTAGCACAAGAGTTACCAGAATTGCTGCAGCTGCATGGTTTTGACTATTCAGAGGTTACCCTCCATACTTTAACATCTTCCTCTGGGCCTGTGGTGATGCTGGAAGGTCCATCCAGCAAAGTGACTGAGGTCAGGAACAACTTGGGTCCATTTTTGGACTCCCTTATTCAGGATAAAAAATCACCATTGACCTGCCAGGGGCAGTAAGATATTTCAAAAGTCCCTCTGGAAGAGAGAACATTTTAAGTGTTGCTCATTCTCAGAAGTGTCTCATACAGCTTCAAGGACAACCTCACATTACTAGAAAGAATTTGGAGTCTGGTGCAGTAAGCTACAGCCTTCGTGATGGACTCAAGGTTCTGGTGTGTCAGGGGGACATCACCAAACAGGTTGCTGACGCCCTGGTGAACGCTGCCAATGGAGACCTGAAACACTGTGGCGGTGTTGCTGCTGCACTGAGTAGAGCAGGTGGCCCTCAGGTTCAGAAAGAGAGCAGCGCTATAGTAAAGCAGACTGGGAAAATTCCTACAGGTGAAGTTGTAGTGACCACAGGGGGGAACTTAAACTGCAAGAAGCTGCTGCATGCCGTTGGGCCTGTAGGTGGAGAATCAGGTGGCAAAGAAAGGTTGTTATTAGAAAAAACTGTCCATTCTGCTCTGAATTTAGCAGAAATGATGGAGTTTGAGTCTATAGCCATGCCCTGTATCAGCTCAGGTGTGTTTGGTGTTCCTGTCACTGTGTGTTCTGAGGCTATCGTGACTGCTGTTAAGGAGTTTGGCAGTCAGGGAGGGCGAAGTCTGAGCAGAATCATCCTGATTGATAACAGAGGAGAGGTGGTGCGGGCCATGCAGGAAGCATGTGACAGGCTTCTCCAAGGGATAAGTCCTGGAAACCAACCAAGTGATGTGGGGTTCCAGATCGATACTGCCCAAAACACTGCAATAGGAGCCACAGCTGGAGCTCCTGGAGATGGTGTCCGTGTGGAGATCATTCAGGGAACCATCGAGACCCAGCAGGTGAGAAAATATGCTGAGATATTGAAGCTGCATTAATGTAAGTTTTGATACTTGAAATACAATTTTTCAGAAGCTAATCTGCAGTTGGTGCTGCGTACCAGGTTGTTTGAATTTAGTCCAGATGCTACAGAATCTACATTCGGGATACACTTTGTGGTCAGGATCATCTAAGTTTTAACTTGGATGAAATTTAGATTACTGTGTTTTCCTAGGTGGATGGCCTGGTATCTCCTATGGTAGGCCATGATCCTCTCTCTACCCGTGTTGGAAATGCTTTGTCCAACATGGTTGGACCTCAGCTGACTGCAAAGTTTCATAAGGAAGCAAGAGGAGCAACACTGCCTGGGGAGATAGTCCTGGTGGAGGGCTTGCCTTCACTCAAGTGTAAAGGAGTGTTCTTCCTCAACCTCATTCCCTGGGATAATAACCAACATGGAACTGCAGTCCAGGTAAAATTGTGTGTTCAGTGATTATTTCTTTGTAGGTTTTTGTGCAGCTAGGTTTGTCTTTAGTGTGTCTGTATTTTGTTTTTCATACTAAAAACTAAGGGGTGCAGTAACCTTGATAATCTTTGAATCTTCCAGGTTCTGAGACAGAGCATCAAAAAGATTCTGGCTTCCTGTCAGATCAGAGGCTTTCGTTCAGTTGCACTCCCTGTGCTTGGGACAGGTGCTGTCTTGCGTTTTCCTCACACTGTGGCATCCAGACTTGTACTGGAGGAGGTCCGTGCATTTGAACAGAACCAAGCCAGCGGAACATCTTTCCTGGTCCGAATTGTTATCCACCCCAATGATAAAGAATCAAGCAAGGTAAAGAAAAAGCAGCAGCAGTGCCTAGGAATAAAAAGGGAGTGTAAAATTGCATTATTATTATTATTATTATTATCCATCCATCCATCCATCGTCAACCGCTTATCCTGTGTACAGGGTCGCGGGATTATTATTATTATTATTATTAATAACTCTTTTCCTCCATTAATTACTGTTGGGAGGCATTAAACAGTTGACAAAAACCAGATCACGTTGGGGGGTTTTTTGTTTTGAAAGTGGAACTGGACTGAAACCTTTCCCTTTGTTAACACAGGCCTTCCAGGCTGCCCAGGGAACTTTGCATCTCAGAGGATTCACAAATGATGCTAACCCAGATCAAGGTTAATGTGAATATTTTCTTTTCAATTTTAGGTTTAGACTTAGACTTAATCACTTTTTTTCTCAGTCTTTAAGGCAGCGGTAAGGCCACAAGGGTGCAGAAAAATGTCAAAGAGCCACATGTCCGCAGCCACCACCATATTACCATTTTTGATTTGTTATGACTAACATGCTAGCAAGCTAATATGTATGTGTACATTTGGAGTCTTATTTCACTCTCTTTGTAACTCTGTTTTGGTGTCTACTACTAGTAAGATACCTAGGTCTAAACTTGTTAGATGTTAAACCTACATTGTGTAAGATGTCTTTTGTTGTCATAAAGGTAAAGGTGAAGAAAAAAAAGTGTATCTTTGCTAAAATTAGCTGCCTGCAGCTGCTGAAAATCTTGAGTGTCAAGCAATAAATATACCACATACCATGTTAAAACCAAAAGGCTAAAAAGGTGCTCTCTGTCAGTATAATAATAGTTCATTTTTGTTGATTGTCTTTTTTGGCATGACTTTAGCTTCCTTTTACCGCCACGTCTCTGTTACTAATGATGAGGTCACAGCCATGCTGGGTGGAGTCAAGCTTCAGATGGTCAGTGGAAACATCATTCATGAGACCACTGATGCCATTATCAACACAACCGACTTCTCCAACAGCCAATCTGGTATGATTGATGGATTTTATAAATGTTTTGATTGTTTCTTTAAGCATTACCTAGGTGAGATCCCACTGTAAGTGTGTGTTCATAATTTCCACAGGTGTGTCCAAAGCCATTCTGACTGCAGCAGGTCCCGTTGTCCAAGCACAGTTAGCACAAGGTAAGCCTTAGAATTTACTGAAAAATACTTTAAAATATGTGTAAGACGTTTTGTTGTGCGCGACTCTCTTTGCAATATGAATCTGTTTTATGCACATTTTAATTTACATAAAAAAAAAAAAAAACTGGGAACATCAGATACTTACAAAACAGCTTTTACATATGGCTGAGGTGGAAAAGTTGGTGTATCAATATATACAAAATGCAACTAACTGCAATGGAAACAGACTTTAAGATTGTTGAATAAAGAACGATGTTCATAAAGTGTTTTAATTTGAATTACATCATCTTGTTGCTTTGTCCCGATGTAGTGGTTTAATGGCACCCGACTGGAGAATTAGTGCCACCAACTGTTTATCTTGATGTGCCCAACTAATATTCATTTAACAGTAGTGGATCATAATATAATTTATATTTTCTTCTGCTGATTTCTAATAGGTTAAAATGTTTGCTACATTTGGATGGAAACTTGACTTAAGTCACATTTTCTTCTCCAGCTTACACATTTTCACCGTCCATTTTTGTTTCTTTCAGTGGGCGTTCCAGCAGACTTCATGTGCACCACAGGACCCGGGTTGCTTGGCTGTAGGGAAATCATTCATGCTAGTTTCATGCGTGACCCTAAGATTTTTCGGAAGAAGTTCAAAAAGATACTGAAGCAGTGTGAGAGCAAAGGCTATCACTCAGCAGCCTTCCCAGCTATCAATACTGGTTTGTACTGTGTGTGTATGGATTTGCATGTGTGTTTGTGTGTTTTTGCATTACGGTCAACACCAAATTTGACTTAATCGCCCTAAATGTTGTAACCTGACATGCTAATAAATATAATACACCAGACAAGTAAAAGTAAAACCAAGGGAGAAGTCAGTAATGGATAGATACATATTACTATAGATGAATTTCTATTGACTATTAGTAGTATCCCTTTATTCTTTACTTATTGTATAGTATAGGATCTTACATGATGAATCAGAAAATACACTAATAACAAATTACAAATAATGGCACTTTAGGGCAACATAGTGATTTAGTTTATAAAGGTCATAACCAGTCACTGCAGAAAAGTAATTGTAAATCATTGGTGGCATATCCATATAGATTCACAACCATCATCTTTATTTCCCATCAGGTGCGGCTGGAATGGACCCTGTCCAAGCTTGTAAAGCCATGCTGGATAGCATGACCTCAGCTATTACGAATTTGAAACCAAATTCCCTCTCACTCATCCGCATTGTCATCCTGCAACAACCGGTGTTCCAGGCTTTTAGGTCAGAAATGAAAATTACTCATATTGCAACAAACAATAGATATGAACATTTTAGCATATTGCAGTGTTTGACCAGTCAATAGCTTGTTGAATATGTTTCTGCAGATCAGAGCTGGAGAACCGCTTTGGACAAACAGCCGCTCCCAGCCTGACCCTGAAAGGTTTGTTTACCTTATAATGCTTGAAGATTTTATACTATGTGCCCAGTTATCATCATCTTGGTCCAGCCTGTCAGTATGCTAACATGTTCTAACTGGCACTAAACACAAGTACAGCAGAGGCTGTTGGGAATGTTAATAGTTTCCCAGTTATTTGGTCATACCAACGTACTTACCAAAAAACATAGACATGCTGCTAGCTAAAATGTCAGGGCATTTCTAAAGGTAGTTGAATTTATCCTCTAGGTGCTGTTGATATCTGTGCAAAAATACCACTCCCTCCCTCCAAAGACACTCCCTCAAAACACATTCTGGAAAAATCCAATACCACGATACCACCAAGTCACAGCAATTAATGTAACTTGCATTAGCTAATTTGAGGATTAGCAGAATGTTGCTGCAGCTACTGCTGTGAAACTAACATGCAGAGAGGTTGAGACGGTCCCAGAGCCATCACACCAGCTCCGAACAGATACTCACTACTCTTCTGCTACTATAGCTAACATCACAATGACAGCATGTAGAAGAAAGCTAGCTGAATGTCCGTGGGTAAGTCATTTAATCTTACCTGACATGCAAATCATGGCTGGAATGACTGCACTGGTGTTGTGGTGGGGTGGGGCCACTTTGTTTGTTTCCCATTTACAGAGCCAGGGCTGTGTACAAACACCAGATTGTTTTTCAGTGCACATACAAAACAGACAGCTAGTGGACTGTAAGGAGATATTTGCTGAATTTACCAAAAGAGTGGAATCGCATACCCCACCTTTAAGTCGATATTGATATTGTGGATATCACATATGCAGATCCTTGGTTATTGGGGCTCAAATCATTTATTTAACAAGGTGTCACATCCACAGTTGTTTTCTCTTTTTGCACTGTTTTTCTATTTTGTAGAAAAAGCTAAACAAAAGCTCAAGAAGTGGCATGACAAGTATTCAAGAACCTCCAGAACTTCAGCACCTCAAGGCAAAACCTTCAACACCTTAAAACCACCGCCAGCTGTAATACTTGTGATTAGCTGCCGTCCAGACACTGGCAAGACCATCAAGAGAGATTTGGAAGGGATCTTGCTGAAGCAGCTGGTAGAGAGAGAGGTGGATTTTTCCAGGCTTGATGCCATGGAGCTGGAGGCAGTGCAGGTAAAGGTCAATGTCTTAGAAATGAGCGTGGAGTGCAGGAGACCTCAAGGTTCTGGGGGTGTGAATGGCAACAGAGCAGGAAACTCAGCAGGAAACTCAGCTACAGCTGAAGCTAGAGATCTGTCAGCGTCAGGAGGAGAGGCCTATGTGCTAAAAGGCCTAAAAGAGGACGTTTTGAGTGTCACTGACTTCATAAACAGAGCAATCCAAAAAGCACTTTGCAAAGACCTCCAAGATAAAGAAGAAGCAACGTTGGCTCTTACTGTCCAGTGGTCGATTCAGAATGTAAATGGAGACTGGCACGAGGTGAGCCTGCATGACAACTACATGCTGGAAGAAGCTCACATGAAGAATGAAGTGTTTGTAGATATGACAGCACCAGACGGCATGATGGTGAAAATAAACTTGAAGAAACAAGAAGCCACAAATTGTATCACAGGCATCACGTACAAAGTGAAACGGAGCGAGTCTGATACATGTATGTCACAATTGGTAGTTTTCCCTTTTTTACTTTAATTCCTATAAATGCTCAAGCCATAACATACATTTGTGTGACTTGTACTTTAGCCTTAGAGTTGCCAGAACACTGGGAACCTATGCACCAAGAAGTATTTAAAAAGGTTGAGCTGCAACCTAACTCATCAGAGTACCAGGACGTGGCCAGGGGTTTCCACAAAACAGCTAAAAACAACATTCGCAAAGTGAGTATGCCAACACAAAAACACATTTCCCTACAAAACACAATGAGTAACTGATAGATTGTTTTTGCTTTTTTAATTTCAGATTGAGCGCGTGCAAAACCCCTATTTGTGGCATGCCTATACTGTGTGTAAGCAGCGTATACTTGCTAAGAATGGCTCAGCAGACGTTGGGGAGAAGTCTCTGTACCATGGCACATCTGCAGGTTCATGCGACTGCATTGAAAAGAACAAATTTGACAGGGGGTTTGCAGGAAGACATGGTAAGGAATGTTGTCACATGTTATTTTTACTCCCCTGAATGAGAGTGTTGTTCTGAAACAATACAGCTCATATAATCATGAATAAATAAGCACAAATCAAAAGTTAGGGACAAAACATCCTCCTTTTAAATCTAAAAATGTTTTATTCAGACAGATTAGTTTGATTTCAGCAGTGATACTGCAGTAATGTAACCCCTGCTTAATGTTACAGTCCGACTGTTGACAACCTGACAGCTGCATTTATGTCCACACAGGCACAGTGTTATAAAGAATTACAATGTAGCCAATAGATTTTATTGATCATTGTCTCTGTCCCTATATCAACAGAAAACGTCTCTCAGGTTTAACAAACTCAGAGTTTTCACTAAACCCGCTTTCTTAAACAGGGCCCAGCTCCTGGCTGGAGCTTCATGAGAGTGATATATCAGTTTTCTCGACTACCTTTCTGTTGAAGAAAACGAATAAGCACCTTTCCCAAAATGTTGAACAATTCCTTAAAGTTGATGTGTCTTTTCTTATGTAATTCTATCACAGCTGCTATGTATGGAAAGGGGGTTTACTTTGCAGTCCGTGCAGAGTATTCGGCCAGTAGATTTGCACCAGCAGACATGTCAGGCCTGAAGCGGGTGTATGTTGCTCGTGTCCTGACCGGCCGTTACACGGTCGGAAATTCTTCAATGCAAGCTGCCCCTCCTCGTGGCTCTGACCCCGCTGACTGCTTCGACAGCGTGGTGGACAACCAACAGCAGCCCTCCATGTTTGTGATCTTCCACGATGACCAGGCCTACCCAGAATACCTCATCACCTTCGACTGAGGAGAACTTGCACTACTATACAGCGGTCTCACAGTCATCTTGTTAAATACTTCAAAACTAGTGATAATTTAGGATGTCACTAAAAATTCTACTTTCCATTAATATTGTGGGTTTTTTTCCCAGAGCTGATTTTGAGCGTGTTTATTTCTCAGCAACATAGAAGTACTTTATAGTAGAACAGAAACAATTAGATGTGGTGACAGTAGAAGCATCGCTAACAGATTTTGAAGAATGCATGTAATGATTTAAAACTTTCACCAACTGTATTAAAGGACAAAGCTGCACTGCAGAGACACTCCTTTAAATTATACTTTTCTTTTTTTGGAAATGTATTTTTTCTGACATAAGTCAAATCATATAAAACCTGAAATTGTATTTGCTTTTATTATGTAATTAATTTGGCGAGATGGGGCAGGATTTTTCCTGGAAAAAAATTAAGGCTTGATTTAAGGCACAATGTGTGTCAACTATTGTGCAAACAAAAAATAATGCTGGGAAGAAGCATTTTCCCAGCATTATTTTTTGTTTTTTTTAGGTTGGTTATGGTTATATGTTATATGTTTATATATATATGTTTTTTATATATATGTTTTTTATATATATATATATTAGCCAATATGAGCCAGGGTAGGGACAAATATGCCAAACTCTGGTGTTGTTTGGACAACATCCGCAAGAATTTGGTTTGCTGTTAAACAGAGCTGAACAGAGCTTTTTATGTTTTCATAGCAATTGAGATTTGCTACAGAAATTGCAATAAGAAACTAATGGACGAAGTGCAATAAAAACAAATGATTTTGTCCTGCCTTCAGATGGCAAGCCACACTCCAGAGATTTAATGTGCATTTTTTCTTCTTCATTGTATGATTCAGAATAACACTTTGTATTCTGTTCAAGGCATGGCATCAAATTACAGCAAAGCTTATTCATGCAAAAGTAAAATAGTTAAAAGTGATCATAATTATACGAGAAGTACACTTTTGATACTTGACTTTGATTACATTACTTGAAGTAAGTTTTAAGTGAAATATAAAGAATTTATTTGACTGTACAATGAAGATGTGTAAAGAGAAATAATATATACATTATAAAAGTAGAGAAGAGTTTTCTTTCAACACTGAGAGAATACTGGGGCAAAAGGAGGAGTTTTTGTAAAGGTGATGCTCATTTGCTTATTTGTTACTAGAAAAAAAACAGAGGCAATGTCACATTACAATTGATACCCCTTTATTGATAATTTTACAGAGAGTACGCCTTTCTTAACACTGTAAATAAAAGAACTAGTTGTAAATGAGATCATGATTTCTGTGGTGCATCATGATTTAGGGGTAAAGGGAAATGGTGGCAATCATATGAGTACTAATTAGAATATAGAGAATATACAAGTTTATTTAAAATAAATAAATAAATCAATTAAAATAAAATAAAATAATTGTTTTAAAGAGAAAGTCACATCACATTTTGGAATTGTGTAATCTTGTGTGTTGTGATTAAAAGTCACAACATACAATTCACACTGGGAAAAGCAAAAATCCACTGAATGAGGAGTACTTATTTATATTATCACTGAGCCTGTGATTACGCCAAAGACGGACATTGATCTTGTCTCCAACTTGTAGCAGCAAGATAGCACTGTTAGATCCAGAGGTAGGGTGATTTTCACTATGGCCATACCATGACAGTATATGGTTTCCATTTTGGTACAAACTGCCGCCACACTGTCCAGTACTTGCTCCCCAGCAGAAGGAAGTGAAGGTGACATAATAGATTCCTTGCACTGGTGCTGTAAAATAACCTGGTCAAGAAACAATGAAAAATAACTATAATCATAATTCAAAAGCAGTTATGTTTTAGAGTATACAATTACTGTAATAAAGACTTTTAAAATACTAACAGTTGCCTTTGGTACATCCAACCCACCAAACAACACTTTGATAATGGGTGTGAAGGGTACCTGGAATGGCGGAGGAACACTGACCTGTGTGTGGGCTGTAATGTCCTCCAATGTTGGACAGAACATGTCTGTACACCAGCGAGTAAAGAACATCTACAGGACCAACTGTGCCATCTATTGGTAATGCAACAGAAAATGCAACCCGAGGCATTGCCTGTCCTGAGAGATATAAACATGAATATATCATTATTCTGAATTTAAAAAAATAAATAAACACCATGTTGATGTTTTATAATTACTGTATACTTTCCAACATACAGTATCTACAAACAATCTTTTAGCAATATTTGTTCTAAAGCATAAACCCAGAACAAGAAAATTACTTGTACTTATTGTGGTCTGGCAGTGTTATGTCTGGTTAAGTCAAACCTTTGTAGTGTATATAAAAGCAAAGAACTATAGTGCACATGCAAGAACAGTACATGGACAAACAACATATGTGTCTATATCATAGTCTGTCTATAAAAAGTCTATATACAAATCATGTGTCTCTAAAGGTAAAACTACAGCTTTGGTGTAAGTTAAGAACAGAATATTACAGCTCAGAACAGGTGGCTTGGATGGCAAACTATAGCTTTGCAATACATTGTTTAGTACCATATACCTGTACTTAGTTCAGTTACCATGCTGTCAAGTGCAGACAGCCTCTTCTCACTGGCGTCAAGCTTTTTGTTTGTTTCCTCCAGGGCTCTCACAGTCGCTTTAAGCCTTTCTTCAAGAGCCCCCAGCTCCTTCAGTGCTGTATAGATGGGTGGGTCACAACTTGGGAGATTTTCTGTTGAGTTTGTTGTCAAAATGTATGGTGTTTCTTGCCCTTGGTTGAAATTCTGGACAGCATCCTTCTCTGCCAGCTCAGTGATCTCATTGACCTTGTCTCCAGCCTTGCATTCAGATAGATCAGCAAGCAAACACACGACCATCATCACTAAGAATCGTTCCATTCTTCAGCTTGGAAGGAATCTCGTAGATCTGTGTAATTTATTTTAATGACTGTTGACTGACACTCAGTTATGAGATATGTATTTATAAGCGTCCAGGTGAATGATTGTTTCTGATTCAAGGAAGCAATGAATAAATCCGCTAGTGCATAAATATCAGATAAACTGACAAACCTTTGCCTATTTCCTCATTGTGTCTCAACAGTTGTTTGTTTTCAGGATTTTTTATGGAATTACTACTTAACCATCAGTCAAGATCAAAGCAAGTCGAGGTCTGTGTGTGTGTTTTTGACTTTTGGTCTTGATAAACAAACTGCATGCCAAGAGTTTGTTGGTACTAGTCCAGTTTCCATCCAAATGTAGAATTTGCACTTATTAACTGAATTTACAGAATATCTGCAAAAGAAAATGCTAATTAATGCCACCAATGCAAATATCAGAGGTTGAATTCATCAAGATAAATAGTTGGTGGTGCTAATTTTCCAGTCAGGTGCATTTTTTTCACTTTATTAAATACAAAAATTTAAACAGGGAAACTGATCAATTTAAATCAAATTCTCAGTCCAGAAATATTCCATTCATCATTCAAAAACGTTTACACAAATTTTGTAATCTACCTTCAAAAGTGTGATTGGTCTGAGATGTGAACAGAACACAGAAAGTGTTCATGCTGACAAGAATTAGGTTTCGTTGAATGTCATTGGTAATTGTAGCACCATTAAAAGAAGAGTGTAGGTAGAAAAACACAGAAAACAAAAATGGAGTTGGAAGTTGGAGTGTGCAAAACTATTTTATTAGCAATAATCATTAACAGAAACTACCACATAAACATTTTGTTATCATGAATAAACTTAAGCCAGTTTCCTTCTGGCTCCTTGACAGTTGTTTGATCTTCAGGACTTGTTATTTCACCACTATTTAAGTCAAGCTCATAGTTAAATGAGGTCCATTGTTGGGTAATATTTTACCTGCCTCTTCACTGAACCACCAATAAAGTCTAACTCAAACATTTAAGTCCACCTTCGTTTCCTTCTATGATGAACTACAACAAAGTGCATGCCAGGAATCAGGTGAAACTGTATCTCTCTGACCCAGTAACTATGAATAGCTGCTTGTTTATGCAGCGAGTAAAGTTGAGTCTGAAAGAGAAAGGGGGGAGGGAGAGAGGTAAGAGAAAAGTAAATATGAGAAAGAATGGTAAATTAATCTAGAAAAGAGTTTTAGGTTTGGCTGAATCAGTAATTATAAATATAACAGAAATACCACCGTAAGTAGCAGTTCAAAGAGAAAGTTAGGCCTAGCCACTGACATGGAGTTTACCAGGCCTTACTTGCCAATGGAATGGGAAGAGCGATGGAGGAGAGAGAAGGAAAGGCGGAAAAAAGTGATTGAAGACGGTGGAGAAGGGATAGAACAGGACAACCGCGAGCTGAGGAGGATCGTCGCTTACAATGACTCCAGGATGGGGCTGACGAGTGTGAGGGATAAGAAAAGGGGATCAGAGGTCAAGACGAGAGGTACTAGTCAAGAGGGAAGTGAGGAGGTATTTGAGGATAATGATGATATCCACACATACTGCAGTGAAACCTATCCTGAAGAAGTATTCATGGCCCTGAAGGAATTCCGGGATTCATTTCTTCTCACAGACCTGACTCTGGCCACTGATAATGAAAACAGCTTTCAGGTACACTCCCCTATCCTGGCTGCTGTCAGCTCCTGCATCCAAGAGAAAGTGAGGAATGAAAGTGGAGAACGGTCAGACAATGATAAGGATGCCGAAGTCCGAAGGCGGTTGGTGTCTCTGGGTCCTGAGGTTGATCACATTGGGCTTCAGGCAGTTGTGGAGTTTGCCTACACTGGCGTTGTATCGTCTTTGAACAAAGACAGTATGGATCAGATAAAGGCTGCAGCTCAAGCGCTGGGGGTCCCTAGAATCCTGGAGCTCTGCAACAAAGAGGGGAGGATGAAGGAAGGTGGAAGTCTCAAGAAGGAAGATAAAAACATCTCTGCTCTGAAACAGATGCAGATTACTCTTCAGTCAATTAAACAGTTGTGGGCAGAGAAAGTGGGATGTGATGTGATTTTGGATGTGGATGGGACTTTATTCCATGGTTAGTAGACATTATGTCATTCCCATGACCACAGTCCTTAGACACCTTGTTGATGATTATTTGATAGTGGTCAAAGTTTGAACTCTTCTTCTGTCTCCAGTCCACAGAGTTATCCTGGCAGCAAGCAGTGATTACTTCCGTGGCATGTTCACCTGTGGGATGAGGGAATCCCATCAGACATGTGTTGCACTTCCCTTCCTGTTAGCTTCTGAGATAGAGGCTCTGATTAGCTGCTCCTACACTGGGACCCTTCCACTTAGCTGGGAATGTGTCTTCGAGATCACTTGCATGGCCCTCCAGCTTCAGTTCCAGGCTCCCCTTTCACTTTGCCTCGACTTCATGCAACAGGAAATGGATGCAAGCTCCTGCCTGGATGTGGCATCTTTTGCTGAAGCCTATGGGATGTCAGAGCTCCTTGAGGAAGCCAATGACTTTGTACTGAGGAACTTCTGGGACGTGTCAGCCACGGAAAAGTTTCAGGATCTACCAGCAGAGAAGCTCCTAAACATCCTCCGCTGTGATGGTCTCTGTGTGCCCTCGGAGCTTGCTGTATTTCGAGCTGCAATCTCCTGGGTTGAGGCAAATCCTGAGGAGAGATTGAGCCAGGCTGGCCTACTGTTGACTGGAGTCCGCTTTTCCCTCATGACCTTTCGAGAATTCAGGGAAGTCAGGGCCATTAACCTCCGCATGGAGTGCTCCGGAAACAAGGAGATGGAACTCTATAGGTCCGCACTCAAGGAATTTGGTTTCAGTCTTCCAAAAGCCCAGGATCAGTGCCGGGTCCGGCATCCCAAAGATGCTCTGGTTCTGGTTGGGGGAGACCAACTGAACCCAGATGTGGGTCAGCGCATACCAAGCAGGGAACTGTGGTTTGCAAACTCCCTACGCAGTGGTACAGGGTTTATGAAGGAGATGGAGTGGAGGAGGCTGGGTGAGATGCCAGACAAGCCAAAGTTCAGGCATGGAGTAGCAGCAATGGTGGGAAGGTTGTATGTGGTTGGAGGGTGTTACTTCTACACCAAGGGTGATATGATGAAATCCACCTACAGGTAAAAAGAGACTGTGCACAAATATCATATTCTTGTAATAAGTCAGATTGGCACACAGATGCTGTGGTCTCACCTTTTCCATCTTTACCTTTACCCCACACATGCTAGTTATGACCCTGTGCAGGACAGTTGGAAGAGGTTGGCTGACATGAGAGAGTTTAGGAGTAACTTCTCAGTGGTGGTACACGAGAAGCATCTTTATGCCATTGGTGGAGATAAGGAGATCAACACCAACGTAGACAGCGTTGAGATGTACAACCCAGATAATAACACCTGGAGGTAAGATTAGTGATGTTTATTTTGCCTTCCACTCTATTCTTATATTTTTATGTTGTTTAGCGACTCCATCTGTACGGTTGTAGTTTTGCATCACTTCCTGTGCAGACCGAAAGTAGGACATTTATTGAGAAGCAGGTGGTTTAGTAGAAGGCTAGAATTTGTGTCAGGAGCTCAGGTGTCAATCTGGTGCCATCCACTTGTTTTTCCAGCACAGGCATTGCTTGTTAGTTGTTCATATGTAAATTTTGCAGTTCACCTTCAAGCTGCAGGCACAAATTGAACATAAACAATGCAAAACCTTTAGCTTCCCTCTCTGCCGCTCGTATCACTCCATTTAGCCCCATCTGGTTGGTTACAAGTAGTACAAAAAATAGCCTATCCACAGAAAAGTCACGAGACATTTGCTCCGGTGAGCAGCGGAGCTGCGTGTTTGGGATTTCACTTAATGATGACACTCTTACCCACTCACTGCACCTGAGAGTCAAAAATAGCATGAATCTGTCTTTTCTGCGTTTTCACTGCAGCTCTGCATTGCGTGATCGCGATGTATTTATTACTTTATTAATAAACAGTGCAGTCAATCCACAGTTCACCCCCAAGCAATGCCAGAGAACAAAGGGAATTACAAATTAGCAGTTTTATTTTTATAAAACAAAGACAAAGCTGTAATCTAGTCTTCTACAAAATAAACAGTAGAAAAAGGTTCAAGGCTCAAACTTCTCACTCCTACTAATACTGCTAAGACAAAATGTTCTTTAAAGGTTTAAATATATGAACACAGGTTTTACACTGGTACATGTTGGGAAAGGTAGAGTGAAGAGAGAGAGTTCCTGTCAGAGCTTAAAATGGCTTCTGTCATCAGGATTTATCTTTTTGCAGATATTATCGGCCGATATTCTACTTGCAGATATATCTACATCGGTGTTTATAACAGCCATCCTTCCCTCATGTCATGAGTGTTGCATAGTTTGCCCACCAGAGGGCGCGCTGCAGCTCCTCTGTTAACAACACTGCAGCACCACAGCACAAAACATCAGCTGACCGGAGTCTCCCAGAGCTACAAGAGTAGCTCCTCGTTGCTCCCACGCTCTGTGTTCCCGGTGAGTTAGTCATTTATAATGTCAATTACATGACTTAAACAATAATAAAAAAAGCCCTCATCACTCTTCATGTTCGGAGACCAGACTTGCTAACAATCCCACTGCCCTCTCCAGGCTCCCAGCAGAGCACACAGCAGTTTTGGAGGCTTCGCTGCTGATAGACGTGATTGAACAGTGTGGCAGTTCTAGCGACCGATCCTCACATTTCTCTCTAATTTATTATTTCTAAATGTTCTTTAACATCACTTACAGCAGCTAATGCTGCCCATTGCAAATTAGCCACAAAGCTAATGCCATGTTTATCACTGGAAGAGCGCTAAGGTTAATAGCACTAAATAGTTATCAAGACATCAGCAGGAGGGAATTCGCATGACTAGATGTAGTAGGCCTATCAGGTAAAGTTAAGTTGGCTATAATTTTAATTTAAGTTAAATAGGCTACAGCTGTGAAGCACACAGCAGCCGTTGCCATGGTGAGGGTTGTTTACTTGTGGAGCCTGAAGCTGCATCCAGCGTTGTCTGCCGAAGCCTCCCTCTCCTGGCACCGATGGTTTGACTGTAGGCCGATGTGTATTCAGAGGCAGTGAGAAACGGACTTTCAAAATAATAATAGGCAAATAAAAAAATAAAAAAACTGCTTTAACTTGCGGTAAAATAATTGTCAGTGTTAATTAATTAATGCGTTAACACGATAATAAAGCGATAATAAAGCATTAACGTGCCCAGCCCTAATTATTATTTTAGTAGTAGTACTATATTGGTATTTATTTATAGTTTCTGTTTTGCTGGCCCCTACACTCTCTTAAAATAAAAGGGGAAAAGAATACCGGCCGATATATCGGCATATCAGATTTTAATTTTCAGATGCGTTGTTTTCAGTTGTCTTAACTTTCTTAAATAGTTTGGGATGCATTTGAAACAAATGCCATTTTTGTTATAGTTTTATGTAAACAGGATGTCATCGGTTTGCAACAAGCACAGTGCCAGTAATGGACCGCCACTCTGCCCAACCCGGAGCTGAAGGAGCTCTGTGGTTCAAAGACTGATATATAGACCTGTGATGTTTCTTCTCCAAAACAAATCTGTTTACTTAAAGCGGACTCCTCTGTCTCTGACATCAGTTTGTGTTGGAGGTATTTTTCCATGGTACCCTCACCATTTAGTTTTTACCATCTCTCTAAGGACTTCCTCATGCAGTGTAATGTCTGTGTTGTAGCCTACTCGGAAAGAATGCCAAAGACCTCAAATGGGAGCACTCAAATCCCATGAGTCCACTCCTTTGAGAGAATTCATATGCTTATTTGCATTTATATAACTCACAAGTAACAATAAGGTCCTTTCCCCATGTGCACTTCTGGACCTGAATGGGGTATCGAGGCCCAGTGGTAGTTTTTGCTACAGCTTTTTTGCATCAATACACATCGAAGGCAGGCAGCACAGCTGTCGTTGCGCGTGTGTGTTGGAGAGAGACGCACACAAAGAGAACTGTTCAATTTGATATGTTACAGAGTTTAGGAGTTTTAAATTAAGTAGGTTAGGCATTTAGGCTACTGCATCTTATCTGTTAAACTGTCCACGATGAGGAAATTAGGCACACACATTTGCCAACGTTGTGCCAACACAAGGACCCGTCATTATAGCCTGCACTGGGGCCTGTCGTTACTAACTTACACTGCTGATGTTACAAAACATAAACTGGCATTGAAAGCAGCTGGTGGAGGCCACAACAAAACATTCTTAGTAGAAATGATGGGATATAAAAAAAAAATATATACACTGTCCTATCAGTCAAACTGAGGCTGTATCACTGATAATATTTCTACAAACAAACTACTACTTGACTGCATTCTCATTCTACTTATAAATGTTTGTCATAAGGTTTAATGGTAAATTACACAGTAGTGACTTATCTCATGACTTTCAAGCTGCCCATCCTGTCTACTTTGTACTAAAAACTCAGGGGATATACAGTAGATGTTTGATACCCCTCCATTACATTCTTGCCTGCTTGTTTCATTTTTCAGCTTTGTCCAGTCCCTGGACCAGACTCTGAGTGGCCATGCTGTCACTGTCATAGATGGAGGAATCTTCATCTCTGGTGGTTTCAACTGTAAGTATGTGTGTCTTGTTTCCATGTTCCTGTACCACCCAGAGAGAGGAAGCACCTACCTGGCAGACATGACCCATGACCGGGCCCAGCATTGCATGGAGCACCTGCGAGGCCATCTTTATGTTGCAGGTGGTGTGTGTAACCTGAGGAAGTTTTACACTGACCAACCAGCATGTGAGGTGTATGATCCTGTGGCCAATTCCTGGACTGCTTTTGCATCACTGCCTGTGCCCCATGTGGGTGCAGCATCAGCTGTCCTTGAAGGGAAGATCTATATAATGGGAGGATACTGCCAGGATGATTACAGTGAGTCTGGACTCGTCCACCGGTTCGATCCCACCACACAGCGATGGGAGATCATGGGCAAACTGCCCGGGGCTGTTACTGACATCCGGGCGTGTCTGCTCCGACTTCCCCAACATTTTAGGGTTTAGACTTTAAACTGGCTGGTCAACACGTTTGGATGTTCAATGTAATATTAGCATTATGTGGTTGAGCTAAATGTCTGTTTTATTATCATAGATATGGTATAAATGATTGAAATTTAAATGTAAATGCCAGATTTTCTTTCTCTATACTAAAGAGTAAAATCGAATATATACAATCCCATATATTAGTTATGTATTAATACTCAAAATAATTTGTCAATAGTATCTCATAATATGATGACATGAATCTCTGCATGTCTGCATCTACCTTATTGCTTGTTGCCCAAAATGTATTGTTAACTTGTTTTTATGGATTGTCAATATGATCTACTGTTAAGAAAAATATTACTTGAAACATAATAGATGTCTTTACATTTTTATTTAGGTAAATTCTTAGCAGTAGAAGTACACACTCATATCAACAAAATACATCAATTACACTTTGTGTGGTGTTTGACTTAACCATGGGAGGGAGAATGGGTTGGTTGCATCCACAGACTTTAAACATTTGCAAAAATACACCCCACTCTGTTCTCTACTGTTAAACATGAATGTAAATAAATATAAAATAATAAAACATTTTATTTGATGGCACCTTACAGCTCACTGGTGCAGACGGCCGAGCTTGTCGCACACCTGTCTCACCTGGGTTTTCATGGTGAACTGGAAGAAGAGGGCTCCTCTCCCCTCACAGAGGCTCACCTACCTGGGTGTGGTACTCGACTCCTCACTCTGGGGAGCGCTGCTCTCTCAGAGAAGGGTGGAGGCTGGTGGAGTTGCTCCGCCGTGTTGTCCCACGGGCAGTGGTGACAGCTCTGTCGATCATGAGGATTGTGGGCCCCATGTCGGCTGCTCACGTGGTTGGTCCCCCTGGGCCTCCTGCACATGAGGAGGTTGCAGCGGTGGTTCATCCGCCTGCATGTCGACCCAGAGATAGCACCTGTTCCTCTGTCTGTGGGTTCGAATCTGGCCTACTGGCGGGACCCCCTCTCTCTGTCAGTCGGGGTTCCCCTGGGCAGGGTCACGTCCCATATCTCGGTCTTCACAGACGCCTCCCTGATGGGCTGGGGCGGGACCTGTCTCTCTCAAGTGGTAGGCGCACCGCACTGCTAGTGGCTGCTGGAAACTCCATAATGCCCCTTTAATAATTTCTCAAGATTTATTTTATTTTGCAACAATAATTTTTATTTCACTTATGATCAGTAGAAAATAATTCCTACACTTCTCAGTACATACAGTACTTACAGTTACAATCCTTACAAATCCCTATCGTTATATACATTATGTGTTTATGTAAATAAAAAGACTATCTGTAAATATATCATAATCAAGATAATCACAGTTGTTAAATATTAACACAGTAAAATAATTTAATTTGTGTACAAACAACTATACAATTCAACAAATATAGACAGTAAAGTTTTCAGTATATGTAAAAAACCCTTACAGGCCTATCAGCCCTGTTTCCAGTGGCAGCAGGCAGCCAGGACAGCTGGTTTAAGTGAGCCCCCTAGTATTTACAGGTGTCAACAACATTCCTATTGACGGGACACCTGTGGCTCAGGAGGTAGAGCAGGTTGCCCGTTAATCGTAAGGTCGGCAGTTCAATCCCCATGCTCCTCCAGTCTGTGTGTCAAAGTGTCCTTGGGCAAAATACTGAACCCCAAATTGCTTCTGGTGGCTGTTCTGCCAGTGTATGAATGTAAGATTCTTTTTGAGCACTACAGTGTAAAAGCGCTTTGAGTGGTCTGAAAGGCTTTACAATTACAGAGCATTTACTTTTATAACTGCAGATTTCCTACTATGGGTTTTGACCTTTTCACAAGCTGCCTGTTGACTCTGTTGGTAGTACTTTTATGTTGGGATTTAGATGGCATCAAGATTTATATTAAATAATGTAACAATTATTAGTATTGGTATATTATTTTAGGGCGGCGCGGTGGTACAGTGGTTAGCACTGTCACCTCACAGCAAGAAGATCGGATGCACAAGCCTTTCTGTGTGGAGTTCGCATGTTCTCTCTGTATGAAAGATCCAGAAAAAAAACAACAGAACACTTTCATTGTTATCTGTAATCCCGCAATAATGAAGAAAGTCATTTACATGTTCCTGAATCAGGACAAGGAAACAGAAACAGAAACTTAGTGTTTGTTAGTAATTTTGTTTCTCCCCAAACTCGTGATTTCTACACTTGCCATATTGCAGTTCAGTAAACCCAGAGAACAGATGCTTATTGTACACTGTTAGTGTAAGCTTATTGTAGTAAAGGAAAATACAGCAGAAATAGAAAGTCTGCAGTGAGTTAGGGTGGTTTTAATATTTTCTATACAGCACAGATGAAATTAAACTCCACAGTTTCGCGCTTCCTGTGCCACTTGTGTGGTTTTTTGCTGTCCATGGCTGCAGTCAGGTCACACCCATTAGGCTTTTTATCTGTGGCCCAGTTCTCATAGCAGACCAGCTCGTCACTGACCCAGAACCACAAATCCAGAGTGCAGGTGTAGCGCAGTCCCAGCCAGACTTTGATTGAGTCTGCGTTCTTGGCTCTCTCTTGGACCCATCTCTGCTGGTGAGGGTTAGTGATGGAGACCAGGTCACTGTAGTTCTCTCTGCAGTAATATAAGGTCTCCATCCAGTTTTTGCTTTCTTTGATCAGGATCACTTTATCTGTCATGGAAAAAATTGAGACAAAATCAGGATCAGCAGCTTTGTTCAGGTAGTTGCTTCAGGTAGACTGTTTATATGTTTTGTTGCTAATAACAAATATCAATTAGACGTGACGATGCACAATAAAAAGACAAGAAGATTTATAGCAGTATTTAGATTAAATATTTGATGCAGAAATATAAGGGGTTCTCTCCCAGAAGATTTTCAACATTAAACTCGTAATTTCCTGCATTCTGGAAACATTTTCTGCTCCATACAGTGGAAATGTCTTGAGGGAAAACTATATTGCATTGGATGTTTTCTTATTGTGCAAATCAACCTTTCTCAAAGCATTTTCATTTGTTAGTTAACATTTCTTGGTGCAAGCTATTTTTCAGGACGTTTTAACCAATCCTTTCAAAAAGTGATGGGGACAAAATCAGTCATTTTAAAATGTGGTGGCGACATGTCCCCAGCGTCCCCAGTGTAAATGACACCTATGGTTCACGGTGCATTCACGTGCTCTTCAGACGGTCCCATTTCCTGAATTGTGGAGTTGTTCTTCCGACTCCAGTGTGTGTTCATGCGCCCTAAAGTCTGAATGTGGAATCAACATGCACTCTACTTCAAAGATGTGTTGGATAAGCATTATTAGAGCATGTAAACAACACGCAAACATCTAGTTCACTCTACCGCAGTGGTCAGCAATAGGCGGCCCGCGGGCCAGAACCGGCGCGCCAGCAATAATATCTGGCTCGTGGCCAGATTGCTTTGATAGCAGAAAAATAAAAAATGAATAAATTGATAATGGCTGGTGCTTTTCCTGCCTCTAAAATAAAAGCGCAAGAACATCTTTTGCAGCAATGCTTCATGTCGAGTTTATTAAGAGCTTTTACTTTGAAGAGTTTTGAAGGACAATTCAAAGAGTCTCTGGCTTGCTTGAAACACCTCTGAAAAAGCCATCAGTAAACATGTATTCCCCTGAATATTTTCTCAGGGAAATGAAAATAAGTGTCCATAGGTTTATGAATGCGGATCAAACGCCAGAATGCACACACACTGCAGCACATGCTTTATGTGAGCATGTGCAAAAGTGTCCTTTTATTCAATTTGTTTAACAAGGGAGAAAAAAATTTCCACTAAAAGATGGAATCAATCTCACAACATTCATCATTACAAGTTTTGTTGGCATTTGTTTGGTTCTTCAGCCCAATCCAGGCTTCTCCTTGCTGCACTGTGGCGTCAAGGAGTCTCCTGACGTCTGTCATGTTAGTCACTGTGGCCAGGTCAGTGTAGTTCTCTCTGCAATACTTCTGTGCTTCATCCCAGGTCTTATTCTCTCCAATAAAGTGATACTCATAGAGGTGACAAATGAAGAAGGAACATTGACCTAAAACCAGAGAAAATACTGCAGTGTTGGAGCTAGTTTATTAAATCAAAATCATGAGTACACAGGTCACACACACATCTTACACCATCCACTTAATTTAAATGTGGCTTTAAGTCCCCTTTCTTGACATTGCATTGATAAGAAGAGAGATTTTCCAAACTGTTTTATGACTCTAGATTAATTCATAGTAACAGCAGTAGTGCTGCTGTAGAGCTGGTAAATACTTACCCACTTACCCATCAGAATGTGCAGAAACAGACTCCACTGCATCTTTGCTCTGTTAGAGGAAACTGATATATTAGTGTGAACCAAACACAATGACTTAACAGCTTGTCTCTGTTGGATGAAATGCACTTAAACACATACTGTATGTCAACATTAGTCCAATAAGGAAGAGGAATATAGGATGGTAGAAAATATGTAAAACATAGTCAAACAATGCACATTCAAACATCCTTTTTTTCGCCCATTAAAGTTAATTATTTGTGTAACTGTAAAATACAGATTAAAAATAGTGGGATACAAGAACTTGAAATAAATGTTTCTGTGTAGAACATGATTATCATGAATGTACAGGTGACACACAAAACAAGACGTGTCATGAAACTACAACAGTTAATTCAAAACAAACATGGAGTCATGAAAACTCAACATTGTGAAGGCAAAATAATAAAATGCCAAGTTGCAATTATATATGCAATTATAAAATCAAGTGTGGTAAATGAAAAAGCTCAATTCATAATATTAGACTCTATACACAAAATGTTAAATAGAACTACTTTAGGACGACTTGCACTTATTGGAACATTTTCTATATTGGATATACTGAACTGTCCACCTTTACACAGACAACATGAAATCTGAAGTGACACAACAGAGTTTAAACTAAACTTCTGGTGATTTTTTTCTCTCCACTCTGATGTCTCCTTGATGTGCTGATGCAGATATATGTATACATATAAATATGATATGCTCTGCTAACACAGCGATCAATTGTAGCCACCTTAAAGTCAACATTTGAATATTAAAATACAAATGTTTTACATCTATGTCATTGCCAGAAGGAGTCATGAACATAAGAAGTGCACATCAGTTTATGAGATTTAATTTACAGCATGCGATGGAAAACAAATGCTGGACTGTCAGCAAGCATCATTTTAAACTCTTCAGCCAGTCATGGGGGAAATTAATTTAATTCATGTTTAGCAGATTCTGAGCGATTATTGACGGTAAAAATTGTTACCTTCTCCTGAGTTAGGATTACTGTCATGCTAGCAATGTTTTTTGTGCAGTGAACCAAACAGAAATTTAGGTTTACAGAAATATGCTCAAATGCTTAAATGTCCAGTAAAGAACACTTTCAAATTCCCTCAGGGCTCAAACATTAGGCAGAGATCAACTAAGAAAGAGAAATATAATATTAGTGGGGAGTATGCAAGTCATAGTCCAACCAGATTTGACAGTTGTTAAATGTGTTATTTCAGTAAAATACAGGTTAAAATATTGTGAGGAGCCTGATGAATACATTTAGGCATAATTTGGTATGTCTTCTTTCCTGTTTTTTTAAGCCATGTAAAATGTCAAAGCATAGATTTTTTTTCACGTCTAACTTATCTTCTAAAGTTATTGTAAAATGAAGCAGGAGGAAAAAACAACTTTATGATATAAGTGTTTTTTTTTTGTTGTTTTTTTTTTACCATTTTTGGGGAATTATTTTACAATTTCATGGTTATATGTCATATTCATGTATATAAAAAAGAGGAGGGAGCTTTGCACACATTGGTGTTAACAGGAAGTTGTTTTCCTGTTTTACTTTATTCATTTATTTTGTAGCCTAAACCTTTTTGTGCTTTTGTCTTCTGTGTGTATAATGATCAATCTTGCCTTTTCCTCATATTGTTGTTTGTCTTAAATGGATTTGAATCTTTTTTCTGTTGTTCAGACCTTTATTATTCAGCTTATTTATCTGATGAGCTCCATTATTTAGTTTATTGCATAAGCATGATGAGGCCCTCAGTTAAAAGAGCACTGATCATGCCAAAGGTAACAAAAGACACTTGATGATATACTTTTGTGCAAAGTGTGTGATCATTGCCACAAATGCCATATACTAATAATATAGTTATAAGTTGTCATGATCCCATTTTTTGTGGGATTATCAAAAGAATCAGGCAGCGTTTTGATAGGAAAAAATTTTTGGGTTATGAAAAACTGTTCAGGAAGTCCTAGAGGTAGTATTTACTGAAAAAGTTATTTTTGTCCAAAAAGATTAAAAACTAATTCCATTGTATAAATTAGATTTCACATGCACTGGCATGAATAGAAGAACTGAATATATTAATAAGAGTTTGAGGTTTTTTTTTATCTTATCTTATCTTATATTGGATAAACTGTCCACATCTGTACACACACAAACATTAATCTCAAATAATACAGCAGTCTTAACTTTTTTGAATATTTGAATATTACAATATTGATGTTTCACTGCAAACTATCACTTGTTGACAAGAGTAAGTCTTTAGAATAGTTGTACTTTAACTTCATATCAATGTATTAAGCAGATAAAATGTACATTATACAAAATGTGGCCATTACAAATAATTCCCATCAATACATTTTGAAAGAAAAGCTGTCACAAAATCTTAAATCAGAATTTGCTTTACGTAAGAATCAATATTCGAGCTCTAGTAATAATTCAAAGACAATCTTACCCCCTGAAGGTACTTAGGATTATTGCCATGCCAGCAATGTTTTTGTCCTATTTTAATTATTTATGTAATTTTATTAAAGTTCTAATTTCAGACACAGCTGGCACATCTTAACATAAATTAAAATTAACCGTCAGCCTCTGTGAACAGTCACATCATTTACAGTGAAATAATCATGTAAATATTAAACAATTTACTGTGTGTGACTTTACAGTAAGTTACATCTACTGTAAAGTTGAAATACTGACATACAAATAATATTCTCCAAGGTCGAAGGTACTCAGGCATGCATACCTCGTACCTTAGTGTCAGGCCCTCCACTTCTGCCTAGCTGTCAGCCTCTCTCCCCTCCCTCTTTGTGTGTGTGTGTGTGTGTGTGTGTGTGTGTGTGTGTGTGTTTAAGGAGTGGAGTGAGGTGCACCGGAGTCAGGTCACCAGCTGCCAGCCATCGTAATCCTGCTCTGCTTCAAATACCTGTACTCAACACTTTCTGGATGCTCAGTCAGTCACGTACCTAGATTTTGTTCCACTATATTTCTCTGGTTGGTTATTCCTGTTCTCCTCTGCCTGCAGTTCCTTGACCTGCCTCAGTCATCACTCCCTCCTGCCCCGTTTGTCAAAACTATATACTTTGTTGATGTCTCCAGTTTCTCGGTTCTTTACCAGCCTCAACACTTGGGCCCTGCTCCCAGCAGGAACAATTGTTGTGTAATGAGCCATGTAAAAATGGCTCAGTAACTACATTGCTAAAGTGATATGATAGTATACTTATTTATTACCTATATTACATTTGTCCTATATATTATTTTTGCAATAAATGCTGTATGTAATGAAAGATTTGCTAGAATCTGCTAATATTAACTTAATCTCTGATTGTCCTTCAACATTCATATATATTTTATGTACACATATATATATATATATACACACAAATATACTGTACAGTGTATATGCACAGCATGCACATAGACAGATGCAGACACAAATAAGGGTGTACTAAATAATATAATTAAGCTATGGCTCATAGGCCTGCACAAACACCAGATCTCAACTCAACTTGGTATTTACAGGAGTTTTTGGAGTGACATGTTAAACAGTGCTCTCCACCACCAAAACACCAAATGAGGTATTACCTTTTGGTGAGAACGGTTTTCATCCCCTTCCAGAAACAGAATTTATGCCAAGGAATAATGAAGCTGTTCTGGAGGCTCATGGTGGTTCAGCACCTTACTAAGACTTCTCATATTGGTGTAGTCAGATTTTCAGTGTCTGCAGCTGCTGATAGATGCATACTGGCAGGAACCTTTGAACAACCCAGGTCAGTGCAGTCTGTGTAACCACTCTGCATCTGTATCCAGGCAGGCCATGTAGGCCTACAGAGCACTGGGGCAGTCTCTGTGTGGCACCTGGGTGACACCATCACATTTACATGAACACAACAAAATGGCACAACAAGAGCAAAGGTTGCCTTCCTTTGACCTGTGATGAAATTAGTGCACTCTGTGGTTTGCATGAACCCCAGAAATACCTAGTCCCTTCCATGTCATGTCTGAATAACGCTGCCATGGAAATAGCCATGGTCTGGTGGCTTTTTTTGTATAATTTTGTATCTCTGTGTACATCAGACAATTTGTTGTTTTCATGCTGTTAAATTTAAACTCTGGCTCTTAAAACACCCCCGCTGTAAAAATATATTCACACTTAAACCTAGTTCACACTACACTATTTTTAGTCCAATTTGCCGCTCGGCGACCGTCAGGCTGTGTGGGTTAATCAGCAGTTGATCTGCGGTTGCCAGTCGTTATGTGTGAACTACTTAACGACGAATCTAAACGGCTCCCCGACACATTTCTGACACATCGACTACGACTGCCAGATAGCCTATCTAAGCATGCCAAATATCTTGAAGAGTCAGCCGACTCGACATCCACATCCAACCAATGAGAGCTGGCAGAGCAGGCAGCTACTTTTTCACTGCAAAACAAATTTTTCCTCCCCTCCAGCTCTCTCTGTAGCTCAGACGATCTCTGTTACCTGGGTGTGCCAATCCATTCTTTCACACAGATTTTTTGTCTTTATCATTGGTATCTTTTATAATAACAAATAAAAGCTGTTTTATGTGTAGGTTCGCATCATTTCCCATTTCACATTTCACCTGTGTTTTGTTGACAAAACGTGGTTTGGAGACCAGCATCAGGTGATTCAGGTATATATCCCTGTGCACAAGGTGACGGCCATAGAAAGAAACTGCTTGTCAAAGTTTAATGTGGAAGAACCTGACAGGCCTGCACCAAGACCTGACCTCAACCCCATCCAACATGTTTGGGATGAACTGTGAGACAGGCCTCATCACCCTACAATAGTGGCTGACCCCATGCTCTTGTGGCTGAATAGGAGCAAATCCCTGTAGCCGGGTTAAAAAAATTTCAGGAAAGCTTCCCCAGAAGAGTAAAGCAGCAGATTCATGCCCATGGCTTTGCAATGAGATGTTTTCCAATCACATGCAGTATGGGTGTAATGTTTAGTATGTAATGTCCACATACTTCACTTCACAGAGGATGTCCTATTGTGAATGGGGCTTTTTATTTATGTAACCTGTGACCCCACAGCATAATGTAATATATGAAATGCCCCTTGATAGTGATAGTAATACTAAAAATAAATTTTTTTATACTGTTGGTAGTAAATGCTCATGTTGACATTGTGTGATAAAATGTATAGAAATTTCATTTCTCTCTTTTTTTTGGCATTCCTTGTTGGTATTTAACTGGCAAACACGCTCACAAAATCTCCCAGTTGGCCTGATGGGATACGACTCGAACTGGGGTCCGTGAGGGGCTCCAAACTGCTTACTCACTGATATCTGAGGAAAATGTAGATGGCAGAATGGTGTTGAAGCTCAGATGCTCAATGTGACGAGACAAAAAGCTGACGTGGACAGACTGAACAAAGAAAATTAAGGTACAAGATTCATGATTACTCTCTTATATTTTTTTCTTATTTGCTTGTAGATAGTTACCATTTATACCTTTACCTTCATCACCCAGGTAATGGGAGAGCCATTTTCTTAAAAAAAGGTTTGCGTTAAAATTCAACCTATGATAACCCTTCAGCTCAGATAGTAGTAACGCTGTTGTTCTGCAATCGTCTGCTAGTGTTTGAGAACCTGAATGGGCACACAATCTTCAGTGGTTTTCTTGTCTTCCCTATATAAATGATTAGAAACAATGTGCTTTTACACAGAAAGAGACTCACATGAAACAATAGTGTCATCTGAGAAATTAGTACATATATATAAATATATATAGATCCTGGATGAATATTACCTCTTTACTTTTCTTAATAAGAAAATTTATTCAAACCTTCATTGAAAAATCACAAAAACCCAATGTATGTTTTTCATTTTTAAAGTTCATTTTAATTAAAATACAAATGTGAACCTTCTTCAGAACAGTAACACCAAGACAATAAACTTTTATTGTTTCTTTTCCTGTCTCTGGTAAGTGAACAAGGCTTTCTGCACCTTTTGAAATGACATGTGTTCAGAAGCCTCGCTTTTGTG